TTTCCAGTCGAGGCAATTCTGGGATCCTGTGTGACTGTGGTGCTACTGGTCCTCCCATTCCAGCCCCAAGGCTGCTCCCAAAGACACCTGTGTCCAGTACAAAGCCCCCCCAAAAAATCTGCAGCAAAGACACCACACTTTGGGTGGAAGCATGGTAGAGGCCAGGCAGAGCTGGGCACGTTCCACAGCTGGGGAGGACAACAGGCCTTTGGGCTGGTTACGTGCCCCTGGGACCTCCCTTCAGCTCTCAGGGCAGACTGGCTGCTAGAGTCATAGAATCCCAGACTGGTTTGGGTTGGAAGGGACCTTAAAGCTCATCCAGTCCCACCCCCCCTGCCAGCAGCAGGGACACCTTCCACTAGACCAGGTTGCTCAAAGCCTCATCCAACCTGGCCGAGAACACTTCCAGGGAGGAGCAGCCACAGCTTCTCTGCCCAACCTGGGACACTGTCTCACCACCCTCACACCAAAGAATTTCTTCCTCACATCTCATCTCCATCTCCCCTCTTCCAGTTTCAAGCCATCACCCCTTGTTCTGTCACTCCCTGTCCTTGTCCAAAGTCCCTCCCCAGCCTTCCTGAGGAGGACAATAACTCATGATGGGTTATTTTTTGCAGTGTCCAGCTCCGGGTCAGAGCAGGGACAGTCTCAGTGGGGACACTGCAGCTGGGAGAAGACACAGGTACTAATTGACTTTATTTATTAGCAACGTGAAGAAGGCAGCGATCACGGGCTGCCCTGTGCATAGGTGGAGTCCCAAGTAGGTCCCTTGCAGACCAGAGAGGGTTGAGCATCCCAGTGCTCCAGGGAGTCCCCTGACACTGGGGGATCCCTCACAGGGACAGAGTGGTCACCAAGGAATAGCTTTACCTTCCCAGTTGAGCAGGGTCCCGCTGTGTTTCTCAGAGAGGATGGGCAGGACCGACAGCAGCCCCCGGACACTGGTGTCCACCGTCAGGTCAGCCTGCAACAGGTACAAGTGAGGAGCAGGACCGAGATCCCACCATCATTCCTGGCCACCCACCAGCACCCGCTCAGCTCGTGCAGGTCGGCAGCAAAGCTCCTTCCACCCAGACCAAGCAGAGAGCCAGGGGAGGTGGGATGGGTCCGTCTGGGAGGATGGTTGGGTATCTGCATGGCTTGGATGGAGGTGGCTCGGGCTGGGCAGCCAGCTACAGGGTTAAATAGGACACGTAGAAGATCCTGCTGCAAGCAGGACGCTATGTGAAACCTTCTCAAAACTCCAGGGCTGCAGGGACCAGCCCCATCCCAAACAGGGATCCTGCAGGATGAGGAGAGACCTCCTGGGCCTGCAGCTCTCTGAGGACAGAGGTGCAGGGTGGGATGGTGCTGCTCCTCTCCTCCCTGCTCTGTCACATTCAGGTTCTCTGCACCATCTCTGGGCTGCCCAAAGCAAACAGGTCTCCTGCTCACCCTGGCTCTGTGCTGATGCTGTTGCCTGGGCAGCACCCACATGTTCTGCAGTGGCCCAGCACAGACGTGGGCAACCTGCAGCCTGAGAGGGAACTCATTCTTGTATGGATCTCTCCTCCCAAGAGCCATCCCAGCCACCCAAGGCACCTCCCATGCCACTGCAAGTTCACAGGCTTTGGTTCCATCTCGACCCACTCAGCTGGAACCCACCTCCTGGGTGCCCATGTCGGTTTTCACCCATCCAGGGTGAAGTGCCACGCAGAGGATCCCGTCTTCCCTGTAGGTCAGAGCCTGGCACTTGGTGAGCATGTTGAGGGCAGCCTGGGGGAGGAAGGAAGCATCAGCCATGGGCAGCAGAAAGCTCCATGCACTAGGCTCCTCTCCCATCGCTGCCTCATGGCACAGGAGAAAAAGCAATGTCAGGTCTTCAAGAGATAGTGTGTGGAGATGCCCTAGGTGGGCAGCAGCTGGGCACGGAGATGCCCAGGGAGCTCAGGCAGTGGTCCCTCCATCTCACGATCTCAGGTCCCCTGGCAAGGGACAGCTCTAACTCCCACTGAGCTCACAAGCATGGGAAGGTCTCCAGCCTCCACACCTTGCTGCAGCGGTAGGAGATGACAGGCTTGAAGAAGGACTCAGGAGTTTTCTCGATGGATCCCATGACGGTGGAGATGTTGATGATGGCTGCCTTGTTGCAACTCAGTCCCTTTTCTGTGCTCTCCTGGGCAGCTTTCTTCAACAGGGGCAGGAACGCCTGGGGAGAAGCAACCTTGTGGGACGCCTGTGCCTCGAGCCAGCCCCACTTATGGAGTAAGTTCCTCCACCAGGAAGAGCAGCAGGAAACCAAGTGAGTCCACGGGTTCTGCTGTAGTGGCCCTGCCTGTTCCCAGTTAGCCCAGCACAACATAGTGGGGCTTGGGCTGGCAGCACAGCAGCCCTGGGAAACTCTGCAAAGCCATCTGAGATCTCCATCTTGACCATCGACAGCGTGGGTGACCCTGAAGCTGGGCTAAATTCCCCCTCCATGGTGAGCTCCATCCCCAGAGCTCCATCCATACCTGGGCCATCAGCATTGGCCCCACTGCATTGGTCTTGTACACCCTCATCATCTCCTCGGCGTCCACCGTCTCCAGCGTCGCCGTCGGGGTGTAGATGCCGGCGTTGTTGATCAGCAGGTTCAAGCCCGTCCCGTTCAGCTTCCCCTCCACGATCTTCGCTGCGTCAGTAACAGCTGAGGGGTTTGCAACATCTGCAGTGGGAGAGAACATGGTTTGAGAGCCATGGACTCCACCTGGGGAGAAGGAGGAGGTGAAGATGCTGAGGAGCAGCTCTGCATCCCGACCCGTGTGGTCTTCCAGCTGTGGGCACCAGATGGTGCTGTGCAACCAGCCCAGAGCACCTGGCACCCACAAACCCCAGCTCATCCCCAACTGCCTCCTTCACCAGGCACAGGGTGCCCCACGACCACCAGCTTGAAGGACCCTGCCCTGGGGCAGCCCACCAGGAAAAGCCACTCTGGGGACAACCCCGTGGTGGCAAAGTGCTGCTGTGACTCCCACGCTGTGTCAGGCATCAGCAGTCACAGCCTCCTGTCAGTGGACAAAGTCCATCCCTGAGGAAGCTCTGGAGAACCCAGGACAGTTTGGAGGGGGATGGTCCCCAGAGGGGCTGTGCTGTGACCTGCTGCAGGATGGCTCTGCAAGGTCCTACAGCTCTTGCCCAAGTGCTGGGCCAACTGCATGGTGTTTCCACAGGAGCTGCCTTCCAGGAGGAGCCCTCCTGGTGTCACCTAGGACTTGGGATCAAGGCAGCAGAGCTGCATGGCACAGCAAGGACACAGCCACTCAGCTGGGGGAGCTGGCCATGCCCAGGATGGGTCTCAAGAACCTCCTGGTCCCATGGCCATGGGGCAAGGAGGCTCCAGGAAACGATGTTACTGGGGCTGAGACAGGACTGGAGAAGCTGGCCTTTTGGCAGCAGGTCGTGAAGCAGCTCTGAAGAACTGGATCCCCATGTAGAGCTGGAAAGCAGGGAGGGGTGGAAGGAGAAACGGGGCAAGTGTGGCCACCAGCCACAAATTTACCAGCTCGGCAGCAGAGCGCACCTACCCAGCTTCACAAGAACCAGGTTGGGGTGTTTGGATGCCAGATCCCTCAGCTCCTACAAAAAGAGACACGGAAACAATCAGCACGAGGCAGAGGTGATACCCAGCATGATCCTGGGGCACCAGTGATGGTCCACCCTGAGGGAAACATCTCCCAGATGTTACTCAGCACTTATGAATGGCCGGACTGGGGACCTGCCTCGGCGCTCAGGCTTCTTCTAGGCTCCACAAAGCAACGTGCCTGTGCTCAGAACGCGACACGGCCGTGACTGCAAGGTACTGTGGTCACTCTCCCAAAGACTGGTGGGCCTAGATCCAACTCTGCGCGAGTGGGCGCCGTGCCCATGGCACGTGGTGAAGGTTTGGCACGGGAGGGCCGGCTGGGACACAGCCAGTGCGGTTTGCTGGACAATATGGCTTATTCTTCACCCGCTGCGCAGCAGAACTTGAGAGGACTTTGGCACAGTGCGAAGGCAAGTGTCCTCCTTTCAGCTGGGCCAGAGCTGGGCTTCTTCTTCATAGCTGGAGCAGCGCTGGG